TTTTTTGTCTCATCCACATGTAAGCTATTATAGAGGCTATATAAAAACATTTGTAGAATGTAACTTATAATTAATAATGCATCTTACAAACAATAATCAACGTACAAAAATTATATTATGGTCTCGCAAACTAAACAAGTGCTCACTAACAAAAAGCTAACCACGCAAGCAAATACTTTTGTTATCTTTGTTTTTCAAAGTTCACCAATTTTGAAAATTTTAAATGCATAGTTTATAAAATAGTATTATAATCTAACTTCTCGCAGGGGAGGTTATGGAATCGCAAAAAAGTCGAAAATCAAAATTTTTGCATATCTATATGTTTCAAGTCTTCTGAACATTTTGGAATACTTTATAAAAATATAAAATGTATGTATTTATTGTATGTGATCAGTGCTGATTAATTTGTGGCAAAGACAGGTACAGCAATTTTGAACATACGGGGCAGAAGGTGCTAAAAATCACTATTAAATTTTTGAGGGCACGGAGCGGCTAATTTAATGATTGCAAAAACATTTTTCCTGCATTAACAGAATGAACAACAACTGCCTGAATTTTTAAGAATTTACAAAACAATTAGTTGATATTATATGTATATTATCAGTTATGTATGCAGACTTCATTTAGTTCAAGAATATTTTCTCATTCCACTACAACAATAATAGCTTGCTACAGCGTAATCATTATTTGTGTTCGAACTTTATGCATATTAGTCATAAATATTTATCAAATATTACTGTAATTAGAAAATAGGCTGTAATTTACCTTGAGAATAAAGTAAAAACATTATATGGTATATATTTACGTCATCAGATTTTCATCAACTGGTTTCGACATCAGTCTATATTTCTTATTTCGCAAATGTTTTTAAAGTTTAATGTCTAAATCTTTGCAACTCTCTAATATAACATTTTATGCCACCTGCTGTCATTTCACACGATATAAAAATTCTTACAAAAATTCGACTTTAAATAACCGACAAAAATGACTAAAATAAACCAAATTAAATTGCTTAGAAATTTAAAATCTTGAGCTTATTTTTAACTTTAGGATTGTTTTTAAATAATTTAGATTTTTTCAGAAATAAGTTTTCTGCCACTTTTTGTTACGATTATTGAATATTGATTCTTTTTTATCTAACAATTTTATGAAAATAAGAAGATAGATTAAAAAATATTTTTTTATTTATATTCAACAAGAGTATATGAATTTATCGGAGCCGCAAGGAACCAAATCACAAAATCATAACACTGATGTTTTCATCATTTTTGTCACAGCTTTCAAAAAGAGTATGATTACTCATCTAATATATCAACAATTTATATTATGAGACTTATCGTTTATTATTCTAATATGGATCGGTTTACGGCAATCAAATAATAATCTTGCATGATTAGAATTATAACACCTTTGTGCATTTGTTTATGAATTATTCCAAGCGTATTATTATCACAAACTGGTTCATGCAAATGGAATTTGCAAAAGTCATATTGTTCATAGAATTTAGTCGTTGCGCACTGAACTTACAAGGCGGTCGCATACAACTTTATAGGTTATCATCTTAACAATTCTGTGTAATTTCAGTAGTTTTGTAATTTTGTGAACTTTAAATGATTTATTTCTGTGTCCTATATAACTATTATCAAAACAGTGAATATGGCGGAAGACAATGCTAAAGAGTGTCCCCTGTGTCTAGAAGTGTTAGAAGATGACGATTTGGAATTTTTCCGTGCGCATGTAACTACCAGGTATGTCGATTTTGTTGGCATACAATTAGAATAGATGGTGATGGATTATGTCCACAATGTTGGGAATCTTATCCAGAAAACCCAGCAAATTTTACTCCTTTATCACAAGATAAAATTGCCACCCTAAAAGCCAAAAAGAGACATGAAGTCCAACAGCGTAAGTTAAAAACTCTTGAACATCAAAAACATCTGTCTAATCTACAAGTTTTACAGAAAAACTTAGTTTTCGCTGTTGGTCTTCATATGAGCATAGCAGATTCAAAAATATTGAAAAGAAATGAGTTTTTTGGAAAATATGGGAAAATTTTAAATATTATTATTAGGAAAAATAAATCAGATGCTATGGCGTATATTACCTATAGTCGTGATAATGATGCACTTGAAGCTATTCTGGCTGTAAATAAAACTCGAATAAAGGGAAAACGTATTAAGACGCGTATTGGAGTTACTAAGTACTGTACTCAATTCGTAAAGAATTTACCATGCTTTGAACGAGACTGCATCTATCTTCATGTTTTTGATGCAGAAGCCACTTTTACGGAAGAAGAAATAAATCTTGGTAAACACAAAGAGTATGAAAAAAAACTGCTTGATGCATTAAAGTCGAAAACTACCGAAAAAGCCGTACGTACACCTGCTATTGCAACAGGTGGTAAACACTTGTACAGTTCTAAAACAAAAGAAAACAATTCTACAACAAAAAATAAAAAAACACAGAATAGCTTAAATAAAATTTTTACAACTGATAGCAGTGCGCGTAGTATTGACCAAAAAATAACATCTGAATCGACGGAAAAGGCAGACCTCAATTCACAATTAGAAAAAATCGAGAAAGAAGAGAAAACGACCGAAGAGAGCAAGCCATCAAGCGAAGCTACGATAGGACAAGCCAATTTGAAGTGCAGTGAAACAAACAAACAAACAAAAATTGTTAGTTATCAATTTCCACGAAATGAAAGCTATGAAAATATTACTGCTAAAACATGCAAAAACATTTTATTCCTAATTTCCTATTTACTGACAATGAATCACTTTTTGAAACCAGCAAAAGAGATCTAAGTCTTAATTATGGAAAGACTAATTCTCATTTTGTAAGACGGCTTTCAAACTTTGATTCTAATCACAACATGCATTCTAGGCTTTCACATGATAACTGCTTAAATACTGACACACCACCCAGTAGTTTAGTAGCTTTGTTTGAGCGATTACCATGTAAAATCACTGGGTGCAAAGGTGAATGCAATGACACAAATTTTAAGACAAAAGCAAGTTAATAATGAATCGCTGACTTTAACTAATTCATCAGAAGGACTGCAAACAAAATTTGCCTTTTCAAACAAATTATCAAATCAAATTGAGCATGGCTGTAACACAAATTACGTTTCAGAAGCAAATTTACATGATCATCAAGCTATGCTGCAAAGTAAAGATTTCTTAAATGAAATAAATGGTGTTCAGTCGGATATTGAAGGTCTGATATTAAAGGACAAATTATGTGAGCCAACTGAAATTGCAAATTCCCTTTTAAAGTTTTTAAGCGATTATAATGAAGGAAACTTGTTACACAAAGAAAAGTGCTTAGAAAGTACTGATACAGAAGAATCGCTTAATCTATTATTTAAAATAAACGACGGAGGTAGTGAAACACCTAATCAATCTTTTAGTTATTCTGATAGCCATCAATCACGAGAATGTAGAGAATGTTACAATTCTATGACAAATACTCAAAAAAATTCCGACAACATAGCACTTTCAAATAAACAAATTTATAATCATTCAGCTTGTTTCAAAACTAAAAACCATTTTCGCGCAACTTCAGATGATGATCTTGATTTTGATGCCTGCAGAAAGGCTAACGAAACATTTGCTTCAATGGGGAACATTGACTTTCAACAAAATTCTAATCGAGAATATAAGAAATGTAGAGAATGTAGTGAGAATCTTGGTCCTAAGTGTTGTTTACCATCAAGCAGCATTTCAAATGTGAATGCTTTTGACATTGATTATTTCCGGAACAAAAAGAAAGCATTAAATCTCGACCTGATTTCAATGTAAACAACGCGACATGTGCTGATTCTATGATACATCAGCAACAAATTCCAAATTCACACCAGCAACATTGTGGTAAAAATATAGGCATGGTTTCCGAATGCGCACAATCGCCATTTTCATATTCGTCAATGGAGAATGAAATAAATCTTCAACAAAATTCTAATTGTGGATCTAAAACATATAGAGAATATGAAGAGAATCCTAGTCGGAGATTTTCTTTGCCATCAAGTAGCATTTCAAATATGAAGTCTTTTGATATTGAAATATCTCCAAGACCAATAGGAAGCATCAAATCTGGAAGTGACAATAATATGTACAACACTTCATCTTCTAATTGGGATTTCATGGCACACCAGCAACAAATTCCAAATTCGTTACCACAGCAGCATTACGGTGAAAATATGAGCATGACTTGCAAATGCACACAATTGAACTCAGCCGTAGAGTTTGGACAAAGATCAGTGTATGCCAATAACAATATGAGCCAACACTCTGCAAATTCAATGAATTACATTTATACTCCACGCCCAACAAATGCGCAATTGGGACATTTTGGTAATAATCAAAGTCATAGTCATAATGCTCCAGTAAGAACACCTCACCATGCAAATATGACTCCATACACAGGTTCGTACAATACTGATCAATGTCCTGCCAATACCCCTATGACTATGCCTATACAAAATCAGTGGCAAAATGCAGTGCAACAGCCGCATGACCATCAAATGCCGCCTGCGTTCCAGAATATACCTCCTGAGTTTCGGAACATACCACCTGCCAATGATGGTAGGCGAAAATATTGGCATTATTAAATTCCATCTGCTGAAAGCAAGAATGATAAGGACGAATAAAAATTTGATATGAAGAATGAGCGCAAGTCGAATCTGCTGCACATTTTTAAGGTAATATCGCGATGAAGATTTTTTAGGATTTACTTCTAATATTTCATTATATATAATATATCATATACAAATAAAATAATATTTCGTATACTTAAATATTTAATATTTAATTTATCTGATTTATCATATTGTTTATCAATTAATGTATCATTATTAGCTTAAGTTTTGTTTTTATTTTTTTGTTTTTAAAGATTTATTTATTTCATTTATATTAGTTTATACCTACATATTTCTATACAATTTATATAATCATGTATAACTATCCTAAGATATAAATACATAAACTTATATTTACTCACACTAGCTAATAAAGAAGTAAATTTACTTATGATTAAATTTCTTATCATGGAAAAAATAAATGAGCTTAAGTATAACTGTATAACTATATGTATAAATTATAAATTATACCTAATAAAGATCGTTTATTCTAATATTTATGTGTATTTTTTAGTTTCCAGTTGGGTAAGTTATAGTAGTCGCTAAAAGACAACAAACTAGTGGGGCGCATGGCATTGTGCCTTAAGGCAAAGTGCTGGAACTTCCCGTACAATTTTTTTTAAAAGATTAACATTTTCGAAAAAAAAATTACTCTGAAAAAATTAGATTTTTGAGAAACTGTACATTATTGACAAAAATTTACTTTTTTGAAAAAAGACTTTTTGAAGAAAAAATTATTTTAAGATATTTTGGAAACTCTAAACTTTTTTCAAAGCAATCGTACTGCTTTTGCTGCACAGAGACGAAATATCAAAGCGCGTAAGCGTCGCGTCGCCGTCTAACAGATAAACATTGGTACGGAACCCATAGGAATGTAAACAAAATTTATACTTATTGTGAAAATCTCTATAAAATATTTAATAATTTGATGTGCATATGTCTAATGATCATTTTTGACCGCCAAATGGCTTTTTTTTAATTTTTTCAACTAGATATCCGAAACCGCTGAACCTGCCTTCATGAAAATTTGATCAGTTCTTCATCTTCTTAAAACAAGTGAATGTTTTTTGAATTTTTAAAATCGGACGCTCCGTTCTCTTAAAAACCGCGTTACCGTTTTTGGCATCCTTTGCGCCGTATCTTCGGAACGGCTAGACCTGCCCCCGCCAAAAACTAATCAGCACGTCTCCTTATCAGTACGAATCGAATATTTTTTGAATTATTTAAATCGGTTGATCGGTGTTCCCGAAATCGTCGACAAAAATTTGTATCCGCACACACACACATACATCCATTTTTTTTCTAAGGTATGCCAAAATATTCAGAAACCTCTGAAACGTAAAGATATATAAAAAATTTCAACTTGCCCTATGGGAAGTTAAAATTTTTTTTGCATATTTTTTTGTCTCAAAGGTTTCTGAAAGTTTTGGCAGACTTTAGAAAAATGCATGTATGTGTGTTTGTATATGAGTGCATATATAGATACAATTTTTCTACGATGTTTTTGGGAGTACTGATCAACTAATTTGAATTAGTCAAAAAGTATGGATTTCTACTGATGAGGATTAGTGTTTAATATAGGCAGGTTTAGCCCTTTCGGAGATACGGCGCAAAAAATGCAGAAAATATCAATTTCGTTTTTACCTTAAGGAACGATGCAATGCTGAATAAATTCAAGGACTACAGCTAAAATGTCTGGGAGCAAGGGGCCTGTTGTAACATTTTTTTTTTCGAAATTAATATATCCTGAGATCCACTGATCAAATTTCTGTGATATAAATTTAAATTTATTAATAAATATTGAATTTTAATAAAGTATCTATCTATCCATAAGAATCCAAAACATTTTTTGTTTAACAACCTGTTACTAGCCAACTCTGCTACAGATAGTCCTTAGCTCCTCTATATATCCTCTGTCTATATAATACTAATAAGTAGGAAGCAATCGCTCTTAGGAGCACATTATATGTTTAGGTGTGACTAGTACAATTGACTTTGTTAACGTAATGGGCGAAGAGCGTAAACGCGGACAGAAAACAATTTGCGCGTCGCATTTTTCTCGCGGTTTCCTCGGCTGCGTCTCTCGCTGGATAATGGTTTCGCGGCAAACGATATTGTCATGTCTGTCGGCTGTCAGCTCGTCGTTCGCTAATAACGCGAATAGAAACGTCCCAGAACGAAACGCGACTCTTGCAGTAGGGTAGGGCGGGGCTAGTTGAGCAAATTTTTACACGGATGTAGCTCCCCAATGAAAAGTCTCAATAAATTTCTATACGGCTTAATGGATTTGTTGTTTATCGCTTAACAAAAGTGTTAATACTATTTTTTGGTAATAAGTAAAATTTAAAAGCTACAGCTCAATGTACCCCATAGGTGGGGCAAGTTGAGCACTAAGAAATTATAATGAAATTATAGGTTCAATGTCGATTAGTGATGAAATAAATAAGTTTTTAATAACCAGTTCTATATTTATAGTCTTTATTGACAGAGAAAACAAAGCTTATAGTAATTTTCTCTGAATAATTAACCAAAAGTAGAATCAACAAAACAATATCGTATCTTAGGAATTATTTTACCATAATATTCAGTTTTATTGTTTCTTTATATTATTACTCGTAGACTTAGCTTAAATCTTGAAAATAATAATTAATTTCTGGAAGTTAGTGGTAATTGTCTTAGTGACAGAGCAAGTTTAGCAACTATGCATTACTAACCCCAACTCGAAATTTCAAAATAAAAGTGAGTTTATAAAAAAACCATGAGAATTATACCCAGAATTTCTGTGCATATTAAATGTACTATAATTATATTGAAGAATAACATTTACCTGTATAACAATAAATAACATTTGACTAAACCAGACGAAAACTCGTGATGAAGTACTTTTTTACTTTTCGATCTCAAAATAAACAAAACGCCCGTGAGCCTCACTCATTTGTCCAGCGGCCACTAGCGATCGCGGAATGTTTATTTCTCCCAAATCTCTAACTTTTCGCCATATAATGCCTAAACGGACGGTGGATAGTTTTCGAGATATTTCGATTGCTCAACTTGCCCCTATGCTCAACTAGCCCTGCTCTACCCTACGACATAACAAAACACGACGAAGAGGAGAGAGGCGCGTCACACACACGCAGTCACGCGGCAACGCGCCGGGCGGCCAGCTACGCCGGCGGAACATTGACACATGATTAAATATGAATGCTTATCGAGCGGCCAAGCCGGGGAGAACATAACCGAGTTTGACAAAGGAGCGATG